GTTTTTTCCACCATTCGCACCAACTGTTGAAGACTTCTGTCATCAGTTTTTCTCTATCCCAAACATCCAGGGAGGTTCTTGACCATTCAATGCCTGGAAAACTTAACTTTATGCACTGTTGAAACAGGGACACCAAGGTCTTTGGAGATGGCTTTATACTCTTTGGAGGTCTTGTGCTTGCAAATAATAGTATTTGTGGTGTCTTCAGACAGCTCCTTTTTCTTTGCCATTGTCACATATGAAGATGGACTAACAGATGACTTTTAAAGCACCAACATGATCATTCATTGGTTAATTCATGTCACATGTGTGGAGGCAGTTCATCACAAGTGATCCTTATTTGTGATTTGCATCAGGTGAGCCAAATTGGGTTTCCATACTGACTTGCAGCAAAGGGTGCCAATGCCATTGACATGGTAAACATTATGTTTTTCTTTGTTGTTCTCATAATGTTTATGTTTTTAAATGTTTTTTTATCATTTGCTGTTTTGCATCAAGCACAAGCTATCGACAGTAAAATGTTGTTTCACTTGATGAATTTCCTTCAGTATATATTCCATTATATGTACTTAGACATCATGGGTGCCAATAATGGTGACCAGGACTGTACATAATTACTCAATTCATTCAATTCAATTCATATGGCTCTTACAACTGCTATGCTAATGCTATTCATAAAGGAAAAAACTTTAAACAACTGTAGGGTTTGAATGACTGGCAGAATGTTGCGGTTTGAGCGTCTTGAATTGTAGTTTTTAAACCAGAGCACAGAGCAGATTAAAGACTCAAGATTGGAAAAAATTGGGTGGACTAGCCCTTTAACCATTTACTGAATCAGAATCTATATTCAGAAGCCAACATTAGCTTTGAATACAAAACAAAGCTAGAATATAAGCTCTGTGAAGGTATTATGACGAAATTAATTATACTATTAATTGCCGCTTTGGACGAGTGTACAAAGTATGCAGGGAAGAAAGAACTTCCAGATCAGACCACTTGTCAAAAATGAAATTATGAAAATCGAAATTAAGCATTCATTATCCGTTTTTTCCATTTCTGTTTTGTGCACTAAATGGGTAATCGGATAACAGCCGAGCTAAGCCGTTATCTGAGTTCCGATTTTGGTTTAATAAACAAAAAACGAAAAAAACAATTCCATTTTCGTTTTTTCATTTTTTGTTTCAAACGGAAAAACAAACTCCCTGAAAATACACGGACTGTGGATCATTGCAGTTGTAGCATTTCAGTAGTGTTTCAAAGAGTTGATTATTTTCTGGAGCTTTTTTAATAATAGGTGAATGTTATTCTGTTTTTGTAGATCTTTTCAACCCAGGAAACAAAGATGTGGTTGACATTCCCCATCCATCAATGCAGCTGGTTCCTCCACCTCCAGTTGCTCTGTCAGCTGCGCCCTCGATAGATGAGCTCATTCAACAGAGCCAGTGGAACCTGCAGCAACAAGAGCAGCACCTCCACACTCTCAGACAGGTAATAGAATAAAGAAGAAACAATAATTGAAGCCATAGAGCAAGACTATCTACATCACCATACCCAAAGGCAAAATGTCACCAAAGATTAGCAGGTGCAGAAATGTTAATATGTTAATAATGTCTACTAGGTACTCTGAGTACACTTAAAGCTCACTTTCTTAATACCTGTTTAAGTTTTTATATAAAACATTTTTAGACTTTTGTTCATGCTGAAGATGACCTGTTGTTTAAACCATGTATTAGGCTAAGGTAAAAAAAAGTGGAATTGAAGCAATTTTGAATGTGGCCCAGTTTTTAGTTTCTGACTTCAGATTGTTCTCAGCATTTCAGAAACTGTTGATCTATTGGGTTTCTTGCACAGCCATCATTAGGGTTTGTAAGGACAGTTTCCTTTTGATTCAGCCAACATTTTGAAGCTGAAACTACAATTCCCACAGCTCAACAAAACTGACCAATGACGGACTGGACAAATGTCGGCTTGTCCAACAGGTCCTGATTTAAGCTGCAACATTTAGATGGCAGGATGAGAATTTGGAGTGAAAACATCAAAGTATTGATCCATCCCTTATGGTAGCAATGGTTGACTCTAATGGTAGTGACTTGATTTTATGAGGAGTATTTTCTTTGCACACTTGGCCTCTTTTTGCCTCATTTCCACCGAGCGGTATGCTGTTTCATGGTCTGGTATATTCAGAAGAGTGTTTCCACCTCCAGTTGGACTCTCACTGGGCAAGTTAAACCTAAATGCCTGACATTGCATATGTAACAACTGCAACTTGTTCAGATACTGAGGGAGGCAACAAAGTATCGCTATAACAACCAGTGGCTAAATTTCTGGAGGTATGTTATTGAGCTACATCCCAATAACAGACCAGGCATAGTTGAAGCACTGTGCTTAATTCTGAAGAAGGGATTGCATTAAGGGAATACTTTCTGTAATTGAATAATTTTTTAATCACAGAAAAATTTGAAGCCCATGCACAGACGGTTTCAACTTTACTCATATAGTACATTATGTAGGCAACTAAATCAATCACTAAAAAAAAAAATCATTTCAAAATATCATCTGACATGTACAATGAACTAAATGCATTTTGCTGACTGGGAGCTGACTGTGTGTGAAAGAGTAATGGACAGGTCGCTTTGGAGCGCATCTGGTTGAATAGCACATTCAAAACTGAAGTGATACATTTATCAAGCCTATAGTACAGCGTTCCCCCCGGTGGGCATTCAGAGGATGGCAGGGGGCGCTGGCGGAAATTTTTACAAAAGGGGGGCGCTGGGATTCCTTTGGGGTGGTGTTTGCTCGAGTGTAAACTTTACACCTTAAATGAATAACAATACCAGTTTAGACTTTGAGCAACTTGCTAAAGCTTTATTGTGTAGAACTGTATCGATGACAGCTCTCCTTCTCTTCAGTGTTTGTAGCTTCTTCTCTCCGCACTCCTGCTAATAGTAGCTTCACCGCATCAGTTCAGCGTTACACCGGCTGATGATGTTGCTGTGATTCACTTGTCTGGTGTCTGATTTTAAAATATTTTATGTTTTATTGAGGATTTTTGTACACGTTTTGTCAGTGCTGTGATCGTGTCAAAGCAGTAACTTATATTGAAAAGTGTTTTAATGTTCATCTGAATGCTGCACATTTTCATGGAAGGACAAC